GCCTTGCCTGCACCCTCTAGCCACCCCATGGACATAGCCAACAGTAGCCACTCATAGCCGATCATAGCCACCTTCGACTAGGCTAGCGATGGCCAGTGCACAGCGAGGGCTGGCTGTGGCTAGCCTGAAACGGCTAGAGGTGCCCAGGAAGTGGCTGGAGCATCCAATTGCTGGCTAAACCTATTTTGCAATGTTCTCTTAGTTGAGGATACGGATGCTCAGAAATCACTTCTCCATAGAGAATTGGAGGATTCATCGTCAAACAACGATGACTATTTCATCTTTTCATTGGTTAGAATCATGCATACTCATTCGCAACAGCCACGAAGACATGGAAGTTATGTCCAAAGATATATCGTTATTTATCAAGAAGAGAAGGCGGTCAATAAAGAATAATGTATCAGGATTATTTGGCAGATAACCCGACATAAGGTCTAGCATTATTCTTTAGAGGTTTGTGTTCTTTTAGTTGGGAATGGTTGATAGTATGTTTATAAATTTATATTTGGTTGGATTTATTTATTTTGGTTTATTACAGGTCTGCATAATGCATGCAGTAGAAGCACATGATGACTACTTTGTATAGAAGAGGAATGCAGCCAATGCACTTTGGTTAAGTTGGTTCTAGAAAATCACTATGCAAGGATCCTTAAACAAACCAGGATTTCAAAACTAAAATTTTGGCACTTTCACGCCTCAGTGATTGTCCTAAGATATCTCAACTGTCATCATAGCCATCCTTTTTTCAATTGACTATAAATCCATAGAAGCATCAAAGTACATAAATATGATTATTACAATAGTTTTGGATACAAGCCCTTGGGGGCTAAAATCAAATAGAAACATCGATATCCTAGTTGTAGTAGCGAAGCTTGGTGAAACTCTAATACACGGTCATCCTTGAGTGTAAACATAACCCACTACCATTCTCAACACTACTACAAGCCTAGAAATATGCACACCACCAGATATGTACATGTCATAGTCAACACCAATGAGCTTTTGTAAAAATTAAAAAAAATAAGGAGATCCGGTGATCCTAGTTTTGGCTGTATGTCCTTGGCCTGGAAGTATAGTATACAAGTAATATAACATCATTTTCCCAAATCAACCCAAACTCTCATTCCCAGCCTCCACTTCACGTCACATCTCACCACTCCGACAACATTAGATCAGTTCAATGCTTCCTCCAACGGTCGACTCCAGAAACTAGCCGTTAAGCCCCACGGTCAAACTTTGACGCATAGTCTGATGGTCAGTTAGCTCTAAGCACTGGACCAATCCAATGCAACACAGAGAGGTTCTAGAAATGTTTTTACACCATCAGATTGATCCGGTGTTTCACATCAGACTAATTCAGTGAGTTCAACGAAAACACCATCTCTGAAATAGTGCTAACACATGATCCGGTGACACCTAGGGTTAACCACCGGATCAATCCGGTGGCTTACTCTAGCCATTATTAACAGCCCACTGCATGGCTTATAGCCCAGTGCCCTCTGCAGGCAAGCACCGGACCAATACGGTGCCTACAAAGGCACTCCCAATCAACTTGATTTCATCCCCTTCATTAAATGTGCCGACTCCTCAAGTGTTCCAACAACTTGTGCAAGTGAGTTAGCATTTAACAAACATTTTTCAAAGGGTTTTCTCTTGCATCTCACCACGTCACTAAGCGTAATGCATATGCAAAAGAAACTCACACTAAGTGACACCAGATAACCGTTGCAACCAAAGATTTCCCCTCTATTGTAGTAAGTGGCGAAGCCAGGATAAATGGCCACCGGGGTCGGTACTTACAAGACTAACTTATAGGTTGCAATAATGTAATACCATCCATGACATCAAATTGATAAAATAACAACTAGATATTGTGACAAAATAAGCTTTGACAACAATAGTTACTTGCTACACTTTCTGTCTATGGCTACGATCCTCCATCTTGTGAAAGCAAACTATCACATCATACAATTATTAATAAATCCATCTCCAATACAATTTCTCAATATTGTCTTCACTATTTTCATTGATGAGAAAACACCTCTCCACTGATGCGGTAGCGATAGGAAGTACTATTATTAGCTTGAGAAGCCCATAGATCAAAGGAAATGGCAATTGTTTTTTTACCCACCATCAACTTGCAAGCTTAGAGATTTTTTTTAGAAAAAAGATTTTGTATTCCGACCTCTGCAAGAGGTTTGCACACAACCAATTCTTATTATAGCTTCAAACTCTGGTTATATTTTAAAAAGCTCACAGAAAGTGAAACCAAGCAAGCGAGCGCCTGTCTAAGCACTAATTCTTTTAAAAGACAACCACCCATGCTTGTGAGGACCTGCATAGCTCAAGTCTCCAATGTGTGGCAGGCCCACTTCAAAGGTGATCTGTTGCTCTCCTTTTGCATGATGTATTAGAGACGAGTCCACTAAGTTGCCCTAAAAATAACCTGCAAATAAGAGTATAATCTTTTTTTGTCAAAAGTCACATCATTTCTACAAAGCCAAATAGACCATAAAATTGCACTTGTTCCCACGCAAATTAGAGAACGCATATGCTGGCCTATTTGTTGAAACCACACTCCAGATATATCTTCTAGATCTATAGGAGGTTGTAATCCAAATGCCATAGTAAAAACTCTCTAGACAAATCTCGCAACATGACAATCAAAAAAGATATGTTGGATGGTTTTTTTGTTGTCACAAAAACAACATCGATCATTTCCTTTCCAACGTCTTCTTAATAAGTTATCTTTCGTTAAAATTACCCCTTTTAGTAGGAACCAAATGAAAACCTTGATTTTAAGGGGGTATTTTCAACTTTCATATTGATTTGTTTAGAGGCAAGGCAAGTTGGTTCACAATATGCTTATACATTGATTGTACGGTGAAAGATCCTAGTTTTGAAAGGCTCCGCTTAATAGAATCTCGTTGGTCATCCAATTGCACAAATGCAATCCTCATAACTAGCTCATTCCATTTAAGTAGATTTTCCCTAACTAATGTTCTTCTAAAAGAAATATTAAGGGGTGTAGAGCTAAAAACTCTAACTACTAAAATGTGTTTCTTTCTACAAATGTTGTATAGAGATGGGTATTGTTCTTTGAGAGTGGAGTTTCTAAGCCATCTATCCTCCTAGAACCTAATCTGTGTTGAAATTAGCAAATCTTTCATCAGCTCGCATATTATCAATGTAAATATTAATTGAACTTACAATCAAGATCCTTCAAATGTGTTGTAGTGCCATCTCCATATCTTTTTGTTCTTGAAAGTGTCTCCATCACTATTCTCATTATCACCTGCTGGAGGTAATTTTCTTTTAAAGAATTCTTTCAGTGTGCTTTAGTTTTCTCAATATCATCAGGGTAATTTTCACCATACCTATATATACTGTTAAAACTCACTACTGAAGGTCTGAAATGCAACTATCCAAGCTGTACTAAAGTAGATAGACACGTGACATCTTGCCGGAATGGAAGAGCACGGCTTTGCTGGAACGCAAATGTCCTATCTGCTTTATGAGTTCAAATTGTATAGCTAAAAAAAACAAAACCCTAAGACCTCAGAGTGAATACGTTGTATGAAGGCCAGAGGCAATGTTAATCTTGGAGACTGCCGCATCCACGTTGATCTTTGCCAGCCCAGCCGACGGTCTGATCCACCGAGAAAGCCACGCTCCCTGAACTGGTTTTAGCCGAACCTGTTTCTTCCCCGTCTGGACCTCCATGAGCTCGCCAATGAAGCGCTCAACAAACATATATATGGATCGACAAGGGGCTCTGAAAATAATCCTTGTGTATCGCCTTGCGACTCGTATACCAGATCATCCACAAGCCGGACGACGACCCTTGTAAGCTCTTGGCATAAGAACTGAGTAAATCGGTAATCTCCTCCCTTTCTAGGCTCGTGTAAACATTATTAGCTAGCATTCACGTAATCAGCTTTTGGGCCATTGGGTGGACTACTGGCTTATCCTTGCTCCTTGCAAACTAGAGGAGTGCTTTCTGTGCAATCGATGGATGCGCTGAGGCGACGCCATGATGGACTGGGGCACTGCTGGCCTTCCAGTCTGTCGGGGTCACACGTAACTTTTATCGGGGTCCAAGCTGGTCAAAATGCGCCTGGTATATGAGGTTACTGCAAAATCGTTGGTGTCGGCTGACCTCTACGGCGGCTGAATGTAGCTTCGCTCTATCCTAAATTAAACCGTGCACTCTATTGCACCTTGGTTGCCAAAAGCAAAGACCTATCATATATCTTTGCCTTGTGGCTTGCTTTTGCTCCATCTTCTCTTCATTTGACGAACACTTGCATACATGTGAACATGATCTCCATCTCCATCACTTTCTATGCCTTGCTCATCATCAACAAGTGGAACCTAGATAAACATACTTCATGAAAAGCATTAATCACATGGTTGACACTCAATTACCAAAACCAAGCTAGCACTTTCAGTTGGCAAGAATGAACGAGGGAGAAAGAACAGGAAGCGAACACAGAGACAGAAAAGTAAATATGAGGAGTTAAATGTAAAAATATATATCACGCTAGCATTGTCACATAAGCGATAAAATGTGACGAAGCAGTATAGATGTGCAGTTCACCACTTAACAAATTAGATGAGAAATGTGTTTTGGAAGTTCATAGATTAAGTGGTATACCATGAAAATTTTATGAACCCATCATGGACCATCGATGCATTTAACTCTATTTTAAATACCTACTCCATTAATGCTGACAAGGGCTCATGATGTCATGCTTATAACATGTTAATGATGCTTAACATTTTTTGTAGCTTATAAATTTGTTGTCGTGACATTGATGGACAAACGATTCAGATAATATAAATACACACACACGTCACACTTCCAAGCTCTGTATGCACGAGAGAGAGAAACTATGCAATATTCACAAAAAGAAATCGATTTACAAGACAAAGCGTTCTACTACTACTGTGTTTTCGTGCTCCTCCATGGCCGAGGCCCGAGGTGCTGACCGGGCAAATTAAACGGCTTCTGATACTGTTTCGACGTGAAAGGTATTGGAGCTTTCGTGTAAAGATTCAGAAACAATGGCGGATGCAGCATCAACATTCCCGCTGGATTCAGTGCCAACCGTGACAGTGACGGCGACGGCCAGTTCCTCCTCCTCTGCCTCCTCAACCACCGCAATGGCCGGCACGTCGTAATCGTCCCTCTGACGACAGCCGGCATTGCCAGATTCAGTGTAGAGTTTAAGGAGGTTGGCCAGGTCCGGCGAGGAGGAGTACACCGACCCCGGGAGGAAGTCCACGAGCGACTGGTAATTGTTGCCATTGCCATCACCCCCGTTCGCCTCCCGGCAGCCTCCTCCGCCCCCGCCGCCGGCGTCCTCCATGGCCGCGGAATCGGACTGGTAGAGCTGCGCCCTGACCCTGCACGCGTCGAGCTGCCGCTGCAGGCCGTGCTTCTCCGTCTCGCTCTCGTGGACGAGCTGCATGGCCAGCCGCGCCGCCTCCCGGTCGAGCTCGCCCTGCTCCTCCAGTTGCCGCTGGTACTCCTCCGCCTCCGCCCTCAAGCGCCGCTCGGAGGCGAGCTCCGCGCGCAGTGCGTGCAGCTCCCTCCTCTGAGCCCTGAATGCGGTGACCAGCTCCCCGAGGGTGAGGCTCTCGTTACCGTCGTCCACGGTCAGCGACTGTGGCATCGTCGCCTGATGCTGGTCTATGGAATCGTCGTCCTCCCGTGGTCGCGGTCGCGAGACGATCGGCGCGAGCTCGAAGAGGGAGACGAGCGGGTCGTTGCCATCGTCGGTGCTGGTGGTTCTTGCGATGCCGCCGCGGCGATCGCCGGCGTCTGGTTTGTTGCCGTCTTGGTCCTGCTCGCATATCTCACTGCCGATGGAGATGACGCGGTGAGTCTCCATGCCTGCCACGAACACGTCAAGTATTAACAGGTGGTTTTGTTGAGGAGATCGAATGTGGCAATTGACAGCAATTTGTTTAGATTTTATCAATCATCAGGTAAGAAATTTAAAGGAATAATAACATGATGCATACATATAATATGTTGAACAGTCCCGGGAACCATCGACTTGGCACGGTCTCTGAATTAACGGCAATGCTCCGTCTAGACGTCCGTCAGTCCGAACGGTGTTGGTGGGCCGCGATGCCCATGAGGCTCTCTTATCCGCTCATATATCTTCTCCCCTCAGGCACCACAATTTCTTAAAAAAAATCGCCGCAACGCTGTGATTGCTCCGCGATCACTCTCCGCCGCCATGCCTGGCCACATCCCGCACTGCTCCCCGCCCCGCGCCATGCCCCCATCCACTTCCCTCGTCGCAAGGAGAGGCAGGGGAGCCCTGCTCCTGCACCTCCATCTAGGGGCGAAGCTAGAGCACATTGGTTGGGGGTGCACTATTTAATCATAACTACAGTGACCCCATACGATGTTCAAACAAAATAGATAACTAATGCACAACTACCATATTTTAACATCAAAATTTGATTTCTAGCGATAGCGATGAGAGAGCTCACCAATAGTGTTTATGTTGGAGAATCTATCATCTGATCGCACATCAGCATTGTAAAGCCAAAGTTAGTCGTTAAGCTCCCTCAAATCCTCAATGGTAAGATCATCCAAATGGAGTCTAGTTGATTTCACACATACAATGGCATTTACGATGTAGTCAACATCAAATAAAGGCAAATTCAAGATTTGAAATATACTAGAAGATTTGATGCCTGATTTGTGATCTCTATTTTTCCAATCTCTATCATTCTTTTCAACAACTTGTAGCACTTCAACTATTGTAGGGAACATGTTAGAGTAAACTATTGCAGTTGTGGCTATAAAAAAAACTATTGCAGTTCTGTACTATCAGAAATATATATTAAAAAAAGAGAAAAAAACCACACTAACCCTAAACCTACTGAGGCTTAACATGATTGAAATACTAGATAATCGAGTGCTGGATGAGTTGATGCCTTGCCTTTTATTTTGGATCAATCTCTGCTGCCGGCCGCCGCGCCAGGTTGTGCCGACGGCCGCCGGGCGCTCAGCTACTTGCCTACTCCCTGCGTAGAGCCGGACAGGGCAGCACCAACCGCGTCGGCGACTTAGCGTCAGGCAAAACCTTGCGGACTCGGGAGCATGGGCGGCGAGCGCGTCTGTTCGGGAGAGCGGCAAGCGAAAGTGCGAAATGCCGAGGCTAGGACCCGGGAGGAAAAGCGATTCCTCCTCCCAGAAGGAAAAGTTGAGGTGGGCTTGGGCCTCGATCTTTTCTAGCTAGCTGCTGCTTGCTGGCCTGCTGGGGGTGCCTTCTTTTGGCCATGGGGGTGCACATGAGGTGAAATATTTATAATTACAAGAGAATTTTGATTTTGGCCTGGGTGCCTAGGCACCCACTGGGTCTAACTGCGTTGGCAGGAAAGGAAGGCCTGCGCGCTGCACCTAGGGTGTACACTGGACCATTGCTCTCGACGTCACCCTGACCCGAGCTTGCTGGTTATCGAAGTTCCCCACGCGGTAGGCTGTAGCCGCTGGCGACGTTGTGTTTCAAGTGTTTCAGGCGTTTGAGACTTATGTTTCAAGTGTTTAATCTAAATATTGCAAATAGATCTGGAATGTTGCATATGTTGCAAGCCTATGTTTCATGTGTTTTATTTGAAAGTTGCATATATTACAATGGCTCTATATGCATGTTTCAAGCTCATGTTGCAAGTGTTTCATCCGGATGTTGCAAAAGTAGATCTCAATGTTGCATATGTTGTTATGACTATACACGCATGTTTCAAGCGTATGTTTCAAGTGTTTCATCTGTTTTAGACGTATGTAAATGTTTTTATCTGGATGTTTCAAAAGTAGATCTGGAAGAGCATATGTTTCATTTGCCACGGCGCCTTTATCGCCATTGTTGGAGGCGCCTGTCGTGGTCACCGTCTGGGCACTGAGGCGTGACGCAGCATGACGCCGAATACCTAATTCGCAGCCGTGGTGACTGGGACCCACGTGGAGCCTAGGGATGGGCGCGGGGCGCGGGATGGGCTTCTGGAGCATGTGATGGGCGCTAGTGCAGCATCTGGACGTGAGGGCACTAACGCTGGATGGGATGCGGTGAGGGATAATGCGCAAGAGCAGCGATCCGAACGCGCCGGACGTCCGGGCACCGGCCCTTCCGCTGAATTAAAGTGTGCTCCTATCCTATCTCAAGCAACTTGACAACGGTCAACTGGTCCTTAGCATGTGATTATGACCATTCTAGATGCCACTGATTGGAAAAAAAAACTATGCAAATCCCAGATCTACCCCAGTTTTAATTAAGTTTGTGGTTGCCCTTTCATCTTAACAACAGCACTGAACCACCATGCAACCATAGTTTCCGCGATTGAAAGTGGCCTTTACTAGATTATTTACCTGAACTTTGTTCCCTACAACTGCACTGGAAAACTGAAAATTCCCATGTCAAGGATCTCACCAGATTTCCAATTTGGCATAAACGCATTTCAATTGTGTTTAGGCAGTTGGCCTGTTAGGATCGCTGCCATGTGGGCCTAGGAGGCCCAAGAGGAACAGGCTGCCCTCCCGCTGGCTACAAAAGGCATCGTGGGAATCCAAGCGAAGGCATCGAAGAAGAGATTTTTCCCTGTGTGCCATTATAAAAGATCGTAATTCTCTCTGTGTCCCTGGAAAAATTCAACGGTCTTCAGCGCCACTACTTCAACTTTTTCGGGTCCTCAATGCCACTTCCGTCAGTTCAGGCTCTAACGTCGTCAAACTACAGGTGTGAAAAGACGAAAATGCCCTTAAGTTCAAATATGTTATTAATTTTTTTTTGAGTATCTTAACGACTTCAAATAAAAAAACTCAAAACTAGAAAGTTGTAGATCTCGTCGAGATCTATAATTTTCATATAAAAATTATTTTCATTTAATTCCGTAAAAAAATATGATGATTTTTCTAAGATATATTAATCATATCAAATCATATTTTTTTTGCGGAATTAAATGAAAATAATTTTTATATGAAAATTATAGATCTCGACGAGATCTACAACTTTCTAGTTTTGAGTTTTTTCATTTGAAGTCGTTAAGATGCTCAAAAAAATTAATAACATATTTGAACTTAAGGGCATTTTCGTTTTTTCACACTGCAGCTTGACGCCAAGCTAGAGCCTAAAACTGACGGAAGTGGCATGGAGGACCCAAAAAGTTAGAGAGATGGCGCTACCAAGACCGCTGAATTTTTTTCGCAGTAGACACAAAGAGATTCCGATCTTTTATAATGGCACACAGGGAAAAGTCTCATCGAAGAATACAGAGATCCAGACTCTTGCCTCCTCTTCCTCAGACTCTCCTGTTCATCTTCTTCCTCAAGTCTTCCTCTCTGATCCGATCCCCTTGCTGTGCTTCCCCTCTCATATTCTAGCTCTCATTGTATGAACATGTGTTGAACTATTTGCCCAACTGAATCGAGATTCTTCTGTTCCTCGCCTAATTGCTTTACTTCCTGTCTGAACTCCGATTTCTCTAAACCCCAATCCCGCTGCCCTCAAGCTCATCCTCGACGAGTTCAACCGGAGGTTCGACGAGATGGAGGCTCGTTTGGACCGGCGCTTCTCGCCTCCGCCGACGACGGAGCTGCGGGATGCCGTTGAGGAGATCCGCGTCGGTGCCACCACCTCTGCACCATCGGTCGCCTCGGCTCCCATCTGCAGCACCACCATCGCCTCCACCGACGAGCCTAGCCCCGACACCACAGTGGCACGCGCCAACTCCGCTGACACGGCCGACTCCGTGCTCTCTTTCAGGACCGCGCGTGCCTCCAACCTCCCGGGCGAGGAGTTCGAGTCTGGGAAGGGCGACGACTCCGACCTTCTCCGCAACCGCCCCGTTGGGGCCCGTTGGGCTGGCCTTCGCGCCGTACCAGTCGTCCACGCCGGTGCTGGCCTTCCAGATCGAGAGCGGCCTCACCTCCACCGACCCCGACGCACCAGCCTCGTCGCACCCGCGTCCACCGTTTCCGCCGCCGCTTCCGTTCATGTCGGGGAGAACGTGCCCGTGGAGACTTCCCCAGCTCCACCCCCAAGCTACCTCTCCGCCGAGCTCCGCGACGAGCGCACCCTGGAAGCGCGGCTCCACCTCGGTCGGACCCTGGCCTCGCTCGACGAGCTTCCACAAGTGCTTCCCTCAAGGTGTTCGACCTTTGGCCACTTCCATGTCGAGCGCGGCCCTGCGTTCGTGACCACTACACCGGCTCATCTTCGACCTCGCCGACTACCGCTCCGCGTCCGTCTCGGCTTCGCCGACCACGGCGTGCTCCTCCGCGCCCGCCTTGGCTTCACCAACCGCGGCGTGCCACTCCTCGTCCGCCTCGGTGTGCTCCTCCGCGCCCGCCTTGGCTTCGCCGATCGCGGTGTTACCATCCTCGTCTGCCTCGGCGTGCTCCTCTGCGCCCGACTTGGCTTCGCCGACCGCGGTGTTACCATCCTCGTCCGCCTCGGCTTCGCCCACGCCCTCCTGCGCTGTCTCGTTCGGTTGCTTCCTGGCCGCGACGCTCGCTGCATCCGGCCGTTGCTCCACCGTCGTCATCTTCGTAGAAGACCTCCGTCACCGTGCAGCGGCGGCTCGACGCCAACATCTCCGCCCACGCCGCGCTCCTGGCCGCTGCGAGCAACTGGGCCGCCTGCCAGGCCGCGGCCAACGCCGTCATCCGCGGCGACCCATTCCGTGCTATCTCCACCGTCCCCAAGCCGGGCTACTTTGTCCTCCGCGCCAACGCCGACCTCGCCGCCAACATGCCCGCGTCCGTGCCTTCCGCTTCGTCCGCAACGGCGATGCAGCGCGCACGCGTCCTGATCTCGCAAGTTCCCGTGGGCACCGAAGGCCTGGGCGCCAGCGGCAGCGTCTACGTCCGCTTCGCCCTCGTCGACAACAGGCTCGGCGACCTCTGGGCGCTCGTCCCCACCGGCGTCATCTTCACCACCGGGGGAGTGGCGAGCTTCAACATGTTCCGCAACGATGTCTCGAACGCCGTCCCCGCGGACGCGTCCGCGCGCCTCGTCCGCCTCGGCACCGTCGAGTACGCGCTCTGCGCCTTCCCGCTCGACGGCTACTCCGTGCCCGGGGTCGCGTCGAGCGGCCTTGTCCTCTACCGCGCGCCGGACACAGTCGCACTCTCCGTCGCCTACACCGTCGCTGCGCACCGCGAGGCAGGCGCCGCCTACGCAGCGCTCGTCCCCGTCGACACTATCGTCGTCTTCGCCAACGGGGGAGAGCCGGGCTTCTACCACTCCATCATCGACGACGCGAGCGCCGTCCCCGCGGACGCGTTCGCACGCATCATGAAGGACGTCCTCGCCGCTCCTACTGCGGGGGCACAGACCCGTGCATGCCCGCGCCGCCTCCGTCCTCGACGACCCCGCCGCCACTGCACGACACAATCAGTCCGTGCTCCAGGCGACCCAGCACGCCGTCGAGTTTGTGCCGGATTCCATCGAGCTGGCCCACTTCCACGCCGAGCTGCTCCTCGACGCCGCCTCTGAGCGTTCCACCATGGGCCCGTTCCTCTGCTACGAGCCCGTCTCGTGCTGAGCCGACCTCGTCCCCGCGCCAGCCAAGATGATTCAGTGGCCCACCTGGGAACTCGGCGAGATGGAGGGCAAGTTGTGCATCACGTGCATGGTCGGCCGCGTCGACGCTATCGTCGTCATCCGTCTTGACTTCGCGTGCCGCACCACCTGCGGCGCCGCCTCGTGGACTCTGGCTGGACACATCGAGGGCCGCAGCCTCAGGAGATGCCAGGACAACAAGCTGCTCCGCCTCGTCGGTGTCTGCACTGCCTCCGGCAAGCGCCTCCTCGTGATGTTGCTGGTGATACGGCCACCCGACGCGACGTTCGACTTCATGGAGGGCTTCGCGTTCGTGAACTGCCGTTGAGGAGATCGAGATGATTAGCATCGGCTTACACCGCCACCTGCACGAGCAGCGCATCTCCAAGATCCTCCGCCGCGATGACAAGGCCGCCAACATGCTGCTGGTCAAGAACCACGAGGCCGTCCAGTGGGTCTTCGGCCTCGCTACGCTGCGGTACCACGGCGGCGCGCGGCACATCACGCCCAGGTCCATGTCCACGAGGCCGACGTCAGAGAAGGCGAACGTGTTCGGCTCTGGGATCCTGCTGCTGTCGCTCGTCACGGCACAGCTCGCGTTCGAGCTCGATCAATGCCACGGCTTGAGGACAAGCCGCATTTCAAGCGGTGGGGAATGTTAGGATCTCTGCCATGTGGGCCCAGGAGGCCCAAGAGGAACAGGCTGCCCTCCTGCTGGCTACAAAAGGCATCGTGGGAATCCAAGCGAAGGCATCGAAGAATACAGAGATCCAGACTCTTGCCTCCTCTTCTTCAGACTCTCCTGTTCATCTTCTTCCTCAAGTCTTCCTCTCTGATCCGATCCCCTTGCTGTGCTTCCCCTCTCATATTCTAGCTCTCATTGTATGAACATGTGTTGAACTATTTGTCCAACTGAATCGAGATTCCTCTGTTCCTCGCCTAATTGCTTTGCTTCCTGCCTGAACTCCGATTCCTCTAATCCCCAATCCCCCTTGTTGCTAACATGGCCATCGGATCATTTTGTGCCATGGCAGCACCATGTTTGGCATGTTTCCGCAAGGTTGTGGTTGCACCAACCAAAACTAGTGAGCATGCACCATCGGCCACAATGTTTTCGATCCACCAACGACCTTACGAGAAACATGTACGTTGCAGTGCTACCTGATTGCAACAGCATCAACTACCTACGTCTGGTGTAATCATCAATCATTGGGTAATCGAGATGTATATAGGAGTAATTGATACCACCGACTTCAGTGCAAAAAAGTTCAGAGGATGGATGAGAATCAATCGAGTCGACGAGTGTTCACCTGAAACCTTGTTCGGATCCTCTGCCGCCATCGCCGCTTCCGTCTCCGATACACCATCCCCGTCGCAGCGATCCGGAGGCGCCGAGCTGGCCACGGCGACGGCGGCGAGGTGGGCATCGCAGAGGAGGAGGCGCAGAGCGTCGCGCTCCACGCCAGTGGCGCTGGAGGCAGAGGAGGAGCAGAACAGACGGTGGACGCGAGCGCAGGCGATGCACGGCGGGGCGAGGCGGAGGCGCTCGGCGGCGGCGGCGATGAGGCAGAACGCGGCGCCGTTGGCGAGCAGCAGCGACGCCAGCGCCCACTCCAGCGCCGCGCGTGCCGCCACGGCCAGGAACTCGCGGATCATGGCCGGCCTCTACTGACTATCTGCTCCTCTGCTCTGGGAAAGCGAACGCGGAGGACGAGAGCATGTGAGGTCTGGAGAAGATGGAAGAAATTTCGATCACCGGTTGATGGATTGGTGGAGCCAGGATGGGAAGGAAAGGAAAGGATTGAGCTGGAGGAGGAAGACGAAGAAGAATTTGGTAGGTGGACAAGAGCAGGTGTCACCTTTTGCAAAATGGAGCGCCACTAACGAACACACAGGAACGTAGAAAATTATTAAAGTAATGGCTTTTGAGAAAAAGGGACAGCGAGAGTTGGAGGCAGGTGACGTCATGGGCCAGGGGGTTGCTAACTCCCATCAAAGTTTATTTTTGTCTCAATTTAATTTCCAAATCAATTGTAGGTCAAAATAGAGCAATAGTAAAGCCGTAAATAGGAATATAAATTCAGATCGAAGAATATTCTGACATTGAAGATAGCAGGGCATTTGGTTTTGGTTTTGTACAAGTAGATCTCAAACAGACATTCTAATCTATACTATTAATATTTAGCCGATAAGAAAAACTTCCATGTTGGCTCTCCTGCAGTAAAATTTATTGTCTCCATTCCAAATTATAAGTCGTTTTGACTTTTTTGTTTTATCCATTATAAGTCGTTTTGATTTTTTTTTTCATTCATTTTGCTATGTATCTGATATATTATTATATATAGATGTCTAGCAAAATGAATATACCAAAAAAATTAAAGTGACTTATAATTTTAGAACGAAGGGAGTATCTCGTTAATATGAAATACTAAAATAGAATGACCATATATTTGTCGATACTACTGCTAATACCTCTCTATGTTATATGGGAGTATCTCTATGCTTGCAGTACCATTAGTGAAAATATAAGTCAAACTACCTTTATTGCACTTTACGTGCGTTTATGAGTTTGTTTAGTTCCATGTATATAAAACAAAGGGATTTGCTAAATTTCATGTGTCTGAATTTTAGTTTTCTTTCAGATGACGGTTATTACATATATTTTATACTAAAATTACTGTTTTAGTTTGTTGCAATTTCTGTAAACACAATCTCCAATTTTTGGTTCCCAGAATAAACAACCCGTTAGATAAAACCACAAACTTGACACAAAGACAAATAATAAATCACAAAAGTGACAATTTACTTGTACTAATAGGTTGCATAAGAGTGTTGCCTGAAATTATCTTAAAATTCAGTCACCTAAAATATAGGAGAAGTGTAAAACAAAATGTTTATATAGGTAAAAATATCTATGAAAATAAAACCTATCAAGTTTATCGTATTGAATAAAGACAAAAACTACATTCTCTACTTGAAGCATGATATTGGCGTTACGTGGTGACACGTAAAATCTTGTACTAGAAGATACCTACATGCCGGCGGCCGTAGGATTTACACAAATCAAGAACGGTTTTTGTGCTTGTATATGATATCACCCATTGACATAGGACCAGTGTGTGGTAGCTGTCGCGGTCCGCTGTGGTAAATGAGATGTGGTTCATCACCAAGAAATCGTGCCGTGTTATAGACCTGTATCCTTTTAGGAATTCTGATGGCGATGGTTCGATGGGTAAGCTCGTTCGTGAGCACATAGTGTTTTTTTTCACTTTTTCTTAGAGGAGCATGATAGTCTATCATATTTTTCACTTCTTTTTTTATTTGATTTGCGAAATAAATGAGTTCATCCATCATTATCTTAGTCTTCACAAACTTATAGATAGTATTAATGTAAGGAATAGAGTCATTTTACTAAATTAATAAAAAAACTCATAATGTACTTATTTGAAATTGAGTGATTCCTTAAAACAAACACTATATTTATTAGGTATATGTTTTGTGGTCACACACTAACTCACACATACATTGACTGTACAGACTCGTGTTTATGCGTCAACAGGTAAAGTGGCAAAAGAAAGAAAATTAATTGGATGGAGTTGTTTCTTTTACTAAATGCTTATAAATACACACATGTATGATTATGACTATGAACACATGCATATATATTCAACTCCTATGAACACCTCTAAAAGATTTGATCAGCAGATCTCGTGATTGATAAAGTCATCACAAGCGATTGCCTACCATAAAAAATAGCAATGTTAAATCCTAAAATAAATGAAGGTCATCAATCTATGTATATTTTATTTTTTTATGTGTGGGAGAAGTGTACCTATCTATGTTGATCTAGGTATATATTTTTTTTTGTTTGGGAGAACTGATACCTATGTTGATCACAAAAATATAGGAAAACCAACTCATTTAGATCTTCTAAACTAATGGCCATAAATCATAAGCCAAGCATTGCTATAGAAAGCATTTTCGCAACTCAATTTTCACCATGGAATAAAAAATATTTGTGATAATATATCACCGCCGGTTTGTAGGTAGGTGTGGGAAAATTGTTGGTTAAACAGGCGGGAAAAAGTTTACCACTGTCAGAGTTTTGTATTGAACTGGCGACGAGAACCTCCTCGGTTTTATTGTTGGTTTGTCACACAGGCCGACAATGATAACTCTTTTTGCCACCGGCTTAAACGGCTACTAGCCACCTCCTAATAAATAGATGGTGAAAACAAGTTTCACCGACAGTTGATGCCACGAATTGCGCTGAAAACCATCTAATAGAAAACCCCAACTTCGTCCCTCTTCTTCCTCACCCGCTCTACTATTTTACCCTGACTCCCATCATTATTTCACCATTGTGGATGCCATTTTTCAGCAATTTGCTCATGGAGCCTCCCAAGTTTTGAAGGATACACATCACTTTCTTGTTTTAAAGTTGGTAATTAGCGACCTAAGAGGTTATTTCTAGCTTGTTTGTTTAGCTAGATATTGCATTTTGGGATGAATGTGATATGAAGCATCTTGCTTTCTTTTAGATCATGGAGGCTCCCGAAATTTAAAGGTTTCAATCACCAACCTATACTCTAAGGTTAGTAAATAACTTCTCCTTTAAGTGTTAGTTTGTTTGGTTAGATTGTTTCCGATATATGAGATCAATGTGAAGGAGATCCTCTTTAATGTATTCGTTCAGAGACAATTTTTACCAAGTTATTCAAAGAGGCTCCCATTGTGAAGGTTGCACATAACTAACATTACTCTTATGTTGGTATCTTGCCACTCATTTGATTGCCAGCTTGTTTGCTAGGTTAGACAATTTTCAATATTGAGATGAATGACGGAAAGACACTTTATTAGTCTATTTATTTAGGTTGTCATATTATTGGGTTTTTTATTCACTTGGATGGATGTACTGTTTGGAGCCTATGTGATGGGGACATGATTCTCGATCTTCCGTTAGGTGGAGATAATTATTGATTTGGTTGGAGAGAGACACACCGATCCGGTTTCAGATCACGAAAACCCATACCCTACAACCTTAGCACCACGTCTCCTCTGATTATCAACCGTGTCACAGTCAATCTGGTTGATCTTACCAAGAAGGCTAATCTCTGCTATGAATCAAAGAACATACGCAGGAACAAGATAAAACATAACTCAAGTAAAGTGACAATTGCGTATGTACGATAATACATCTGCCCATCTGCAACAAGTGGGAATAAAACCCTGAGTACGAGAAGGTACTCAGCTAGACTTACCCGACATAACCGAAAATAAAGTGACACCAAGGATTATGAAGGGCTTTATAGTAGGGTAGCAGACTCATTTGCAAAAAGAGGCATTTTTAACATTTCAAGAACCTTTCCAAAGCATTATTGTCAAGTTAATTATTATTAACCTGTCGACTATATTTGCACCTATACTAGGGCAAGCATGTGATTAAGCAAATAATGATAACCAATGATTATTAATAACTTCCATAATGTCATATCCATTATAACTGTCCAAGTGTTCCATCAACATTACTATGATGAAGTCACTCAAGTCAAGTGCTCACTGTCTAGGAGCGATGGCGATTCGAATCGATTCCTAACCAGCTGGTGATTTATTCCTTACACAAACCTCACTCACCCGCTAAAGTGAGGTATTGATCACCGAGTCAACTATCCAGGAGTCTCGAGTTTGTTAGGAACCACATGTACCCGGGGGCCGACCGACTCCACTTTGGTCTTATCATCTCGCCCCCGTGTCCTACCACACCTGCTCTGGCACAGTGCGCTGCGGGCAATCTACTCGGCCCGAATAATCTCCCAGCTTCGCGGTCGGAAGGTACTTTATCCGGCTAGCTAAATGTAAGGTATGCGTTCAACATGACTCGAGGCCCAACAACGGTCGGTCCTTAATCGACACAGACGGAAAGCACTACAGTTCAAAACTCTGTAAGTCTCCGTCCGGTCTCAACTTCATTTAACACTTAGTTATACCATGACTACATAGTTATCCAAGCAGATCTAGGTAACCACCTATAGCTCGCAGGTGACAGGAAATCACCCGACTTCTACCGGTCTAAGCCAGCTAAGCATTGACTCGACTACGGATACCAGGGTAACAAGGATATGGTATAACAAAGGTGGACAAGGTATAATGCAGCAACGGTTGCAAACAACTCCTGAACGTAATGCATCAATTAAAGTAAAGCAGTTAATTAATAATTGCAAACCAGGGAGAAAAATGCTCCGGGGCTTGCCTCTCTCGAAGGAGCTCGGGCGGTGATCGGGGCACTCCGGAAGCTCCTCAACGTCCTCCTCGTCGGCTTCGGGCACCTCCTGCGGCTGCACCTCAAGCCGCTCCTCAGGCTCCTCGGGTATGACGACTGAGTTCTCGGTTTACGATCCTATATGATGCAATGTGCGTAAGTGCTTATGCAATCAGTGCATCGGATGAGATGAATACAATGGATATGCTTGAATGCAAGGTAGTCAACATCATCCAAAAACATATACTACAAGCACATGTCATCTACTGCCTTCTCTTCTACTACTAATATACTAAGTCAACACATCTTATTAAATGCTTCAAAGATACACCAAAGCTTCACTAATTTCTTAATCACACATAAAGCAACACTTGATTAAACCCTAATTAATAATAAT